TGAGTACATGATTTGCAAATATTTTTTTCTCTTTCTGTGGGTTGTCTTTTCACTTTATGGATAGTGTGTACAGAAGTATAACAGTCTTTTTTATTGTGTAGGTTTTAAATTTAGGTGATTCCCAACATACCCATTCCTATGGGTATGTTTTTCTTTGGTTGCTTGGGCTTTGGGGTATCGTATTTAGGAAACTACTGCCTAATCTAAAGTCAAAAAATGTAGATGTGCTTTCTTCTGAGAGTTTTTTAATTTTAGTTCTTATATTCAGGTCTTAGGTACATTTTTTAGTTAATATGTGTGGGACAGTGACATAAGGTTAATTGTTAAAATGCAACTAGAATAGTATCACAAGTATGTTGTCAAAGCTTATATTTTAAATTGTATTTCTCAAAGTCTTAGCTACATTTTAACAAAAGAACCTACCTGTCCACTCCTTATGATAGATGGTGGAATCGAGAAGAAGTACCCAGCTTTTACACCCTCCATGGCTACAGAAGGTCGACCGTCAAATGCATGCAGCAGTACCTTGTCGGCACCTCCGAAAATTCAAGAGAAATCAGAGTCCATTTTATTTCCTTAACAACAGGTTTTCCTGTTACTCAAGCTGAACAACAGAGATCTGACATTTTAATTAAGTGTTGGACATCATGATAAAGATGAGATTCTGTGATAAGCATAATAGGGGTAGATAAGGATACAGTGTTCAAAGAGCAGAATAAAAATAAATTCTTAATCTTCAGAATAAAACTATTAAATAAAATTCAAAATCAGATTTTGAAACCATTGCTTAAACTTCATATACCATTTTATCCTTTCTGGAAATCTGTGAACTGTCATGATTGTTCCTAATAAGAGATTTTTAGTCAAATTGATTTTTTCCAACAAAAATGTTAGGGGGAGAAAAAATGGAAAACTAAATGACTCATGAATTAAGAAGCCAGAGTTGGCTTCACAAAACCAACTCCAGTTCTGAAAGGATGGTTGCTCGCCCTGCACAAAAATTACACTTTCAGGGATTCTAGAAGGGTTCAGTGTTCATCACTCAGAAATACAGTGCTTTCTAGTTGCAGGTAATTACCTTTATTTCATTATTTTACAGTGTTTTCAAATGTTAAGTGTGACAATTAGTGGGTTATGATACTATGAGTTAAGAAACAAACTTAGGAGGTCATAACCAATCAATGAGTGCATTTATCTACACATATACCTACACTTAACATACCTATACACAGGTACACAATTATATACTGCTTGTAAAACTTCGGTCAGTTTTATTTACATGTGTATGTCTCAAAATGTATTTCATACTGTGGGTGGCATTTTTTAAAGTGTGATAGATAATGCTGTAAGATAGTTGTGTGTGTGTGGGTTTTTTTATGTCTTTTTGAGACAGGGTCTGGCTATGCAGTGCAGGCTGGCCTTGAGCTCACTTTGCAGCCCAGGCTGGTCTCAAACTTGCAACGATCCTCCTGCCTCAGCCTCCAGTGTGCTGGGATTACAGGCATGCGCCACCACACCCGGCTTAATGCTATAAGATAGATTTTTACTTTAAGAACAACTGGTGCCGCCCCATTCCTTTCCCTTTACGAAATCAAATTAAAACATGGCTTGTTCCATGAGAACATGAACCAGCGTTGTCAAACTTAGACACATTTCTTTCAGGAGGCTAAATACCTTGCTCACGTAAGAGGTTGATGGTAGGTCTCCCAGCAGAGCGTGAGTGAACATTTCTGTTTAAAAGAAAATTCCTTTTAATACTTTTAAAGCTCTGAATTTTATTTTTGTTCTATAAAATAATTTAGAAAAAAATGATGCACAGTTCCATTTCAGGAGGACTCTTAGAACGTTATTTAACTTGGTCTATAGCTATTATCATAAAAAATTATTAATTAACTTACAAAGGCAAGTTTAGTCTCTTGGCTAGTTGGATCTGTCTGATTAGGACTTGTCTTTGCTCTTCCTTCTGTTCATCAGTGCCAGCAAATCTGGGAGAGAAATCTAGTCCAACCTACAGGAGAAAAACAAACCAATTACATATATGAGCTCCAAAAGAGATACTGTGAATCAGTCCTGTAGCCACATGAAAAATATTAACTAAAAATAGGTGAAATTAACTTTAATAATATACTTTACCCAGTGGATTGAAAACATTACTTTAATATATAATCAATGTAAAAATGAGTTATTTATGTATGTATATTCACATAAACACATGCAGATTTTTTTATTGTACTAAACTTAAGTTTTTCTTTTTCTTTTGGTTTGGTTTTTTGAGACAGGGTTTCACTACGTAGTTCAGGCTGCCCATGAACTCACTATGTAGTGCAGGTTGGCCTCAAATTCACAGTAATCCTCCTGCCTCAGACTCCCAAGTGCTGGGATTATAGGTGTGTGCCACTATACGCAGTTTGTACTAAAACTTTGAAACTCACTGTGTGCTTTATACTTACAGTACATCTCAATTCCAAGCAGGCACATTTTAAATGTGCTACACCCAGATTAATGACTGCCTCCTTTGATGTTATTTCGACCTGTATTCCATATTTATGTTCTGAGTTTAAGTGTTATCCTTATCTTTTATGTTTAGTGGGAAATGAAATTTATTACTGGGTGACATAGTACCACTACAAATTATTTAAAACGCTATTTAAAGTATGCTTTTAAATTACTTACGTTGCATGCTTATATCTGGTAATCTGAGCAACTGATTTGAAGAAAACAATATACAGTGGAACAACCACTGCTGAATTCCTACCATCTTGTCTAGTGAAACTCTGTACTGTCTCTAATGTTTTATTTAATAACTATATTTTATTCTCTTTAATGGTTTGAACAATCTTACATTCTTACATCTGGTAATCTGAGCAACTCAGTTGAAGATAACAATATGTATATGTAATATAGCACCCACTGATAATTCCTATCATTTTGTTTTGAAACACTGTATCATTTTTTATGTTGTTTTCTTTTGTTTATGTCTGTGATGTTAGTATTTTGCTATTGTTCTTTTTTTACTACTCTTTAAAATAAAAATATAAAAACATTACTTACGAAGTATTACACGTACTATTTTAACTCACCAGATATTTAAGCAAAACTTTAAGCAATATTTAAACAGAAAATATTTAAGGAGAAAAAAAAAAGGTGTTATTTAGATATACAATTAGCATTATTTTTTTCCCATGAAGATAAGTCTACCCTGGAAGACTTTGTATTGTTTTATCACTACAAGTTCTTGCTTACTGAGGAAGTACCAACAAGTAATTATTGGGCCAGGGATATAGCTCAGTGGCACAGTGCCTGCCTGGCAAGCCCAAGGTCCTGAGTTCGATTCCTGGTACCAAAAAAAAAATCCAAATTATTACTCAGCTGAACGAGTAAATGTAATTACCCCAGTCAGTTATAATCACCAATACTGAACTAAGGATTATTATCATATAGACATCTGGTTGTTTGGTCTGCTAATGCGTCTTTACCTCTCCAATTGCTAACAACTGATCCTTGTAATTTTCAATAACAGGCAAAGCTGCATCCAGATCCTAGAGGAAAAGAGTAAAGTTATTACAGTGGAAGAAGAAAATTAAAATTGCATAAGTGAAGGCTATTACATGCCAGGCTCTATACTCAGGTTACAAGAATACGGCTTTTATGAAGATTCCCACTTACACATCACCTCCTCTTTAGGAGGCATTTCCTGGCAGTTAGGATCTGACTTGGATTTCCTGGAATAGCTGAGAAAGAGTAAATCAATGTGGGTTTTCTGGCATAGTGGAGAAAAGTGAGCCATCAGGTGGTCACCTCTGCATGCGAGCGGTTGGGATTATATTGTATTATATTCTCCCCTTAGTGGTTCATAAATTTCTAATAGCGATAATCCTGTACAGTGCCTCTTTTGCTCTTTTCATTGTTTTCTTTTGTCTCTATGGTCTTGCTTACCCTATTTGTCCTAAAAGTTCAACAATATCAACTTGTCTGTGAACTACCAAAGTAACTGTGTCACATGAGTTTCAGTGATACTACCTTCTCCATTTCGGAGAATGTGCTCTGGGAGGGCTCCCCTCTAAAGTAGGGAAAACGTTCCAGGTAACTTTTAAACTATTTTGTGGATTTCAGTTTAGGACATGTAAATTGCAAAGTACTTCTGATGATAATCAGAATAAGAAAGAATTAAGAAAAGGGACATAGGGGGCTGGGGATTTAGCTCAGCAGCAAAGCGCCTGCCTGGCAAGCGCAAGGTCGTGAGTTCGGTTCCCGGTACCAGAGAAAAAAAAAAAAAAAAGAAAGAAAAGGGAGATAAAGCAGATAACAGAGGGACAGGAAGAGAGTTGGGAGGGAGGGAGAAAGAGGCCGACCTTAGAAATATATTCTAGTGGGCTTGATGAAGAATTGACATTGTTGTAAGAAGCAATGGGTATATAACTGTAGCTATCAGAAAAGCTATCTGACAACAAGCTGAAGAGGTGAAATCATGTCCGACAAGGCTTTTCTGGATCAAATGTCCAAACTATTCCATATCTCTTAGATCTAGAGAAGTTCATCTAGTCTTTATCTCAGTAGCTGTAAAAATATAAGGATACTCATGTATGTATTACTTTTTTGTCTGTTTTTTTTTTTGGCTTTGGTTTTTTTTCCGGTACCGGAAATCGAACTCACAACCTTGCACTTGCCAGGCAGGCATTGTGCCACTGAGCTAAATCCCCAGCCCCTGCCTGTCTGTTTAAGACAGGGTCTTGCTATGTAGTCTTGAACTCACTACGTAGCCCAGGCTGGCCTTGAACTCACAGCAATCCTCCTGCCTCAGGCTCCCTAATGCTGGCATTACAGGCATGCACCACCAAGCTTAACCACACAGGTCTATGTCTGACTTCATTTCTATTCCCATTTCCCTATTCCCGTATAGTTTCAAGCTCCTTAACAGCTAATGGTTCTATTATAGGTTTTTAAAAACTATTCCTTTCCCCATACCCTACGCTTGGGGAGTAATTATATAATTACTGAACATTTATAAATGAGGAAATTGAGACTTGGCAAAGTTAAGTAAGTGCCATAGATCACCGAAGCCAATAAGCCAGGTCTCTCTGGCTTCAAAGCCCATGCTGCTGAAATAAGAAAGGAGGGAGGTAAAAAAATGGCAGTCAAGAAGGAAGAAGAGGAAGGAAGGAGGACGAAAGGGAAGGAGGAAAGAGATTTATTGAGAATGATCTTTAAATAATGACAAATCTTTCCAAATCTTTGGTACAGGGGTCAGGCGTTTCACAGGAACGTCTGAGGTGTGGCAGGTCTAGCAGTGACTGCAGCTCACAGGCCCTGCCTGCGGGAAGCAGTGGCTGTGACTGGTGAACCAAGGTGCACCGCGGAGTCTGCTGCCTACGCTGTGCCAGTAATGACAGCTACTGACTGGGTGAAAATTCAGGAAGATGCTGAAAGAGTTGTGTGATGCCAGGCAATTTTTTGATGAACCGATGAGTGGGTACTACATATCTAATTTTGTACCACATATTTTGGAAGGTTTTAAGGATGCAACCAAGTATAATTACTCCTGATTTAAAGAAGCGTCTAGTCTGGTAAGTAGGACAAGACTAAACTTTGGTATAGACTATAAGTGCAGGTAGAATATAACAAAGCTAACTCTCCTTAGTTCTGGTCTATTCCGGAGAGATATTCTGAAATCTCACCTGCTCATATCTGCTTTGAGAATCAAAAATTATGTATATATCACTGATATGTTAATTAGTTTTGTAAGTCAACAGCTCTGTGGGTTCTACGTTCATGCCAAATCCATGCCAAACCCACCCACTTTGCCTGCACTGATCTCGTCTGATCCAGCATCCTCTTTAACGGACAACTGACACAGCTTGATTCTCTCTTTTTTGCCCAATTCACACTCAAGGGGATCTCCTTAAATGTGAGTCACATCCTGCTACTCCTCACTTAAAATCTGCATTCCCCAAAAACTCAAATCCAGCAAGGTCCTGTATGAGCTCTCCACCCAGGCCCTCCAAGCCATCCACTGTCACTCTGCCCCTCGCTCCTGCCACTTCGGCTTCCTTCCTGCTTCTTGCTCTAACTGGGCTTGAGGGTCTTTGTGCTTTGAGGTTTCCTTTACTTTTGATACTCTTAACTTCTCTGTGTTGCCAAGTCCTTTGCGACATCAGGGTGCAGCTCACAAGCCTTTCCTGATGACAGCATTATTTTCATTTGTTTGGTTTTGTTGCTGTGGGTGTTTTGTTTTTGTTTTTGTTTTTGTTTTGTTTTGAGACATGGTCTCCCTATGTAGCCCAAACGGGCTTCAAACTTGTGGCAATCTTCCTGCCTCAGCTTTCCAAGTGCTGGGATTACAGGCATGCAAAATCATTAAAAATCAGTATCTATAACCCCTATCTCACAGTCTTCAAAGCACTTAGTGCTATTAGGCAGAAACTTGGGCATTAGAAAGCCTGGAGACAGACAACTGCGCCAATGGAAAAGCTGAGAAGACCTGCCATGTTTTTCCCCTTGGCTTTCTAATTATTAGCTGTAGATAAAATCTATGCACGTTCATGGTTTCAAACTTTATCTTAAGAGAATGTAACATCCTTCAAGTGTCCTGATAAAGCCCACTGCCCCTGCAAAGTCCAGACCATGGATAAAGGGCCAGACAAACCTGAAGGCTTCGAAACAAACTAAATGGAAACATCCAGCTCAGGAGTATGCAGGGACTTCTCTCAAGAGTAGGCCAGCATGGCCCATTTTATCTGCACAGGAACAATGACCTCTAAGGAGGGAAATAACGTTCCTTGAAAGACTCAGTTTATCACATAAATGTAATCCAAATGCTCGGTCAGCGCAACTGCCATTTGCCCACCTTCATGCTTGAGGTGTAGCCTTTCTTGCGCTTTCTGAAAGGCCATGACTGAGCAATAAACTCTAGCTATACCCTATAGGATGATGGTCTATGTGTATTACTTACAATCTTTCATCAGACACAAAGAATCAAGGTGTGTGGCCAGTCTTTTGCAACAGACCTCAGCATGTTAGGACCCAGCTTCCCCCCAATAGCACTATCTCAAGTTTTCCTTTTTGCATTCAGTGTGGGTTGTCTGCCCCATCTAGATTTTTGATTCCAAGAGAGGACTCTCTCTCCAGTGCTGAAAGCAGTGGCTGGCAATAGCAGATGCTCAGTAAACACTAGCTGATTAAATAAGGAATGCCTACGGCATAAACCTCTACATAAACAGTACAGGTACTGCAGAGTCCATACTGTGCTCTTGCTGATTCTCAATATTTTGGGAACTGCAATGCTGATGCAATTCAGCTAATTGTATCACATTCAACAACTCAGGAGAACAGTAGAATATGTGTTTTTCCCTGAAGTGCTTACAATTAATTTGTTTTGAAATAAGAACTAGCCAGATAGGATGATGGATGCCTCTAATCCCAGCACTCCAGGAGGCTGATGCAGGATTGTAAATTCAAACCCAGCCTGAGCAACCTAGCAACTAGTGAGACCACACAGCAAAATAAAAAATAAAAAAGGGCTAGGGATGTGGTTCAGTGAGAAGGATTCAAACCCTAGTACCGAAACAAACAAATGCGGAGCAGTGCTGGCTATCTTCAGGGGAGGACACAAATACACTATCATAAAAATAATGCCTGTATCTTAATTTATTCACAGGTATCAAACAGTACATCTTTGGAATGGGACTATCAATTCCCATTCTATTATGCAATAAAGCACCCAAGAAATTGAGTGTCTTGGTGGTACTAAGTCTAGACATAAGCATGAAGCATAAGCCACATGAGTGGGTGTGAGTCAGTGAGACCAGGTGGGGAGGGTTTGTACAGAGCATAAATGCAGTAATTTGGTAGATCAAGGGCACTCCTCAGAGTTGCCCACCTTCAGAGAAGAGACCACCACTGACTTGAACTCATCTGTCTCCTTAGTGTAGAGCCCCTATGAATCTGTATCTTTCTTTTCCTAATTCCCTAATTCACCTTTTTTTTTTTTTTTTTTGCAAAAGCAGTATGACCACAGAACAAAAAAATATGGAAAAAGTCACCTACAATTCCACCAGATTGGGGCTGGGGATTTAGCTCAGTGGCACAGCGCCTGCCCGAAAGCGCGAGTTCGTACGTTTGATTCCGATACAAAAAAAAAAATTCTACCAGATCATTATAATTACCATCATTTCTGTGTTTTCTTTCCAGTTGTTTCCTTTATAAACTATGTTTTTACATGTGTATTACTAAAATTCCATACACTATTTGGTGTCCTGTTTTTATCCCTATTATGATAAACGTTTTCTATAAATGCATTCTATTTAACACTAAAAGTTAGCCAGTGATTCCTTTATTTCTGAAGCCCTAGGCTGTTTCCATTTTTCTCTATTACAGATAATGTTGCAGTGAAAATATCTGTAAAAGAAGGCAATGCTTCTTTTGGGTGATTTTCTTAGATGATAAACTAGAAAGAAGAGGATTATTAGGCCAAAGTTATCATTTTTTATGGTTTTTGGTTTATCTAACTGTTACCTTTAATGTGACACTTCTTTGGTCTTCTGGTGAAAGCCCCTGCACTGGATGAACACCTAGGCAGGGCAAAATGAACCCACTGTACCTGAAAATAGAGAGAAAAATGAAGAGGAATAATAAGCTAGGAGACTGTGATGTCTGTCAGAGACCAGGCTATGTAATGGTTAAACTGACAACCATGAAGGGCCCTCTAGTGGTGTTGGAAAAGTTCTCACTCACAGTGTCCTGAAGTCAAGATAACACTACAGCTGAGGCTGCTGGGAGAGGGGCTACTGACGCTCCCTATTCCAGAGCAATAAAACTGTCAACCTTAGAGATCAAACAGTTCTCTTAATTGGAAAAATTTACTGCCTTTGTTTCCAAGACCTTGGTCATTTTCGCAGCTTTGTTGTGCGCTCTTCTTCCTGCACTCCCAAATCTGTGAAACCCAATAAATACAGTGATTGCAAGAGTCTTTGTTTTACTCCTAGAGGGTGTTTACTCCCAGACTTTTGACCTTCCTGGACTCCCCCAAAACCATACCACTTGTCCCTTTATTTAAGCCTTTGTAGTAACTTGTTGTAGGAGATTGGGGGTTAGGCCAAGTCCCAATAGATGTCATTCTGAAGAACAAGCAGAAAATAATCTCTTTTTGGGCCTATGTTAATAGGTTTTCTCCTCACTCTCTTTAAAATAGGTCTCTTGTATTATAAATCTAACATCATAATCATGTTCTTATTAGCAATTCTTCAAAAATTTAATTAAAAGTAGCACCTTTCTGAAAGTTGAATAATCTTTTCAAATTCTCCTGAATGTTCAGCAACTGCCACAAGGGCCACAATGTTGGCCTGAAAAAAATACAGATAGTTAAGAGTCTTAAATAACACAGTTAATACAAATCAAGTGAAATATAAATATTACCTCATTTAATCTACATAAACCTAGGAGTTAGGTTTAGAATGTAATCAAATAACTTGCCCAAGATCATTAGGCGTATGTGATCCTAAAATCCATACATCTAATTTACCTGGAAGTTGCTCTATGTAAAACTGTATTAACAACCATTTCTGGTTCTATATATCAATTTCTGAGAAGTCTGCATATTGCTAGTTGCAATAAATTTTTAAACACCTCCAAAAATGAGTAATTTTTCCTTACAAATCAAAATGTTTCAGAAAGCTTTAATAATACATCCCGTATCTCCAGAATAATATGAATTTAAGGACTAACAAGGGGACCAATTTGTTCCATAGTGCTGATAACCAGGTTGGCTTCTGGACACATTCTCAATTCGGATTAATCTGTCTCTATCACTTTCCTAGTGTGTGTCTTCAGACCAGTTACTAATCTTTAGGTCTTAGCTCCCTCAATTATCTAGTGGGGGAATGACTGGCTATAAAATAGTAACTTCCTCAGAAAACTGAAACACAAAGTGAGATAAGTTTAGAATGGGTTTAGTTCAGTGCTTGGCACATCGTAAACACTTAGTAAATGCTACCTATTAGTAACTAATGAAGCAACATTACCATCAAATATATAAACACAGCATATCTAAACAAGGCAGTATGCCAAGCTAAGCCAACTTGATGTCATAGGGAAAACAAACAAGGGGGCCATTACAGGTACTGACTTACCTTCTTGGCTTTCTCCAACACATCCTCCAGATCCTAAAGGAAGCAAAAGCAATCAGCATTATTTTCGATGAGTAAGTAACTGCTCTCTGGGTACATATATCGGTGCAGCTGAGGTACCAAGAAGGACAATGTTAGCAAGGAATGGGGTGGTGGAAAGCAAAACCCTACACTCACCCATTTCCTGTTTCCTCTTACTTTCAGGAAGGGCTAGCTGCTTTTCCCACTGCACTAAAACAGAAACTTCTGTTGCCACACACAAACACATTTCTCTGTCCTCCTCTCACTCTACCCCTCATTTGCCTACTCTTGTTTAAGTGCTTTCCATTATTGGACTCCACAACAGCATTCTCTCACTGGTGGCTCCTTTTTGTCTCCTCTTCTGCCCGCCCCCCTTTCTGATCTCTGGACCCGCTCCTCTTTTCTCCGCACTCACCTTCAGTCATCTCATATGTTCTTGTGGTTTTAAATGTCATTATGCTGGACCCCCAACTTTAATGTTCAACTTATAACTCTCCTGAAATCATGCCTCACGTTTAAAAGTAACTAGATGACCTCTCTGCTTGGGTGGGATCAGGCTTTCCAATCTGTCCCAAATGCAAATCTGTTCTTCCTGCAACCTATTCCTTCCGCCATCTCCCCACTCCCACACCTTCTTCTCCACTTATCTCAGGAAACAGCACTACCATCTTCTCCATAACACAAGCTAAAAATGTGGGCTATCCTCAATTCTTTCCTCTTTCTTGCTCTCCACATCCAATTCCTCAACATGTACTATGGATCCCATCTCTAAAATAGCCCTCACGATACTATGGACTCTGTCTCTAAAATGTATCTTGGCTACATCTGCTTCTTGACTACATCTACTTCTCAGACTCCCTTGCTCTACCATCACAGTACTACGCACCATGGCTCTGATCTATACAGGGCAACACCTCTAACTGGACTAGCTTCCACTCCCCTCCATTTATTTGCTACAAAGCAGCAAAACAGTAAGATATATGGGTATCCGATCTTGTCTTTCTCTTATACAAAATCGTCACCTTTAATGGATCAAAACTGTTTCCTATGCATTCCAAATTCTATACTGACCTATTTCACTAATATCCCCCCATCCCGGCTCTCCTGCAAACTTGCCCGGTCTTGTTTCACTCTTCCTCCTAGCTCATCAGGGCAGCCTTTCAGTAACAGGAATGGGTCAGATTCTATCCTGTCTGGGCGCTGCAGCCTGCCCGCTTTCCTCACCACCGTAATTCACCCTCTTGCTTGGCTGCCTCTTTGTCTTCCCAGCCTTAAATGTCACCTCTTAAGAAACTACACATCTACTCTTCCTTCTTTATTATTAGTGTTTAGTTTCCAATCAAGCGTGCAAAAACATTTTTGTATCTGAGTGTGTGTGCGTGTGTGTGTGTGTGTGTGTGTGTGTGTGTGTGTGTGTGTTCTCCTTGCTTCTCTCCCCATCAGAACTGGGGCGTACGGTATCAGTGGGTGACCAATTCCTGAGGATAAACAGCCCGATCCCAGGCGGGTAGAAAAAAGGATTCCAGGAACCAGGAACGGCAAATATACGCTTTGTGGAGACAGTCGTTTTACTAGATCAGAAAGAAAACTTGATGTGGTTGAGATTAAGTAAGAAATCTGGCAGATCGCAAAGGGTCACAGACAAGGGGCTGAGGGGAATGTGGGGCTTCGTGCTAAAAGAGAGCAAAGAAAATCTGTAGGGGAAAGACGGGGACCTCCCCACTGCCCTGATTCCCGCCTCGCCCTCACATACGCTATCGAAGTCCGGGTCCGAGAGGTGACAGTGACAATCCACCAGCCCCACGCCCGACGCCCCCATAGGAATCTGGAACGCTTCTGCAGCCGCGCCGCAAGCTTCCGACCGGAAGCGTGCTCGCTGCACCCGTGAGGACACGCCCTTCCGCTCCCAGAGTCCCCGCCTGCAGTTTAAACGGGGAAAAAATGGCGGGGGCTTTTGAGCCAGTGATCCGCACCCCGCGGCTGGACGAAGCGTTAGCAGCGAGCACAAACAGCCAGGCCTCGGTCCCCACCGCTCCCCGAGAGGATTTCCGAGTGCGCTGCACCTCGAAGCGGGCCATGACGGAAATCCTAGCACTGTGCCGCCGCTTCGTGCAAAACCTCGGGGACGCGTTGCCGGAGGAGATTCGGGAGGCCGCGCTGCGGGACGTGCAGTGGGTACGGGCCGAGTTAGCCGCCTCTTTATTTACCACCTCCTTGCCCACGGCCCGAGACTCAGGGCTGTGAGGCCCTCCCCAGGCCTTGGCAGAGTTCGCGGCGTTGCGGGCTGTGGGAGAAGCAGCCGGAGAATGGCGAGGGCGAGAACGAAACAGAAGTTGGCGGCCGCTGTGCGCTCCCCTTTGCGTAGTCCCGGGCGGCGGGCAGCGGGTCCAGGCGACCTGTGCGAGTAACGTGAGGGGCGAGAGAGGCGAGCTTAGCCGAAATAAAATACTTCCCTTAACCCTGTGTA